GAAGACTTGTGCAGAATTAGTTTGCCTAATGTAGCACGGAAACCCAGTATTGCAGTTTATCAGGAAGTGTCACATTTCTAAAATTTGCATACAAGACACAAAAGGCAATGCCATGCATGTGCTTAAACCCAGAAAATGAACTTGGATAAAATGCATACAAATAATTCTACATTTTCCCCGAACACATATCCTCCGTGTTGCACAGGCCAGTTCTGAAGTAGTTGAGTGAATTAATTTCGATGTTGAGGAAAGAAATGATTCGGTTGGTCTCGGCTGACCAGAGGTGCACCTCACCTCTACCCTCGTTAAGTACAAAATCCCCTTTTCACTGGCGGAGAACAATGGCGACATTCCTTCTACTTCTGAGTGAGGAATGACTTTGGTTTTTTCCTTCTTCCTCCTTCCACAGCTGCGAGAGAAGGAGATGGCGGCTGTACCACCCTCGGAGAGTCCTTTCTTCCCATCACTACGGCTTCCATGGAGAAATAGGATTCGTACGCTATGCATGTAACAAGGCCCAAGTCTGCCAAAGGTCGCAGCCGACCTGCCCTCCACTGCACCCAGAGTGTGCACACCGTTTCCCAGCATGGTTCCCCCCTGACACCCAGGCCTCCTTCCAATACACGCGAAAGGGCGGGGAGTTCCCTCAGCTCTGCGACTCAAGCGAGACGGGGCAGTCTGGTGAAGACCGAGGAGATCCCAGAGCTCCTGCAGGTGCTCCCCGCTCAACCGACGTCGTCGCTGAACAGGTACAGAGTGCTTCCTTCGATCGAGAAGAAGGAGGAGGAGTCCGGAGACATGGCCACTCAAAGCTTAGTGGACAAAACCACCAGGTTGAGCATGTCGGATGATCTCATCATAAAGGCCAAGAACAGTCACGTGGAACAGCAGCGCCTTTCCTCTGCGCACAGGAGGGGGGCGTCCAGAAGCACGCCAGAAATGACCGCCCCTGCAGAAGCAAGGGGTTCTCGAGGTCAGAAGAGGCAGCCAGTCGGCGGACACTCGGAGACAGGCGGGTCCCCGCTGGACAGAGAACAAAACCTGCTTCTTGCCGTGCGATCTCCGTCTGGAGAGAGATTTCAGCATCTCTTCCGTCCCTCGGACACCCTTCAGACAGTCATAGCAACCGCGGAGGCCGAGCACGGAACCAGCTACGAAGGTGGGATCATCGAGACCATGGAGGTACCCAGAAGGAGCTTCCACAACTTATCCCTAACTTTGGAACAGAGCGGTATCCGCAACAGGACAGTGCTGTGCGTCTCCCAGAAAGCAGACCATTCAGCGGGTTCTGCATAATCGTGCCACACCGATACAGCTTGAATCAGTGCATGACTTAACTAACCCACCAGAGCACTGCGGTTGTATTGTTTTGGTTTCTAAGAAAGTTGAATCATCGTCGATTCAGTTGGGTATTTTTTTTTTTACGTCAAATGAAAAAGACCATAATTTCCTTTCATTTGCTTGTTGCAATCAAGATTTTATGAAACCTTTCACAGGACCTTAATGTAACAGTTCTTCATTTCTACAGTAACTGCAGTACTTCACAATTACAATTAAGTTGTATTTGCTTACCTCTTCTTTTTG